GAGGGGGGGGGGGGGGGGGGGGGGGGGGGGGGACTCATAACAATATGATTGAACAGTATAAGTGTTCAGCACGAGTCTTCGCTCTTGGCTACTGCCCAATCCTTGAACGAATCCGCATATGTGGTTTCGAAACCATGAAAGCGAAAGTGAACCATTTTGAAGTTCTTGCATTTTTTGTTTGTTTATTTTTGTTTATTCAATTCAAACAGCCGTTTATTTCGCTCTGCTTTGAATGCACTCGCTGAGGCACAACTGAACCTTCTTTTACCCGAATCAGTGTGTGATTTGCTAAGGTGTCGTCCCAGAGGGGAATTCTAGATTATTTCGAGAGGTGCAGTCAAAGCATGTTGGAATTATTGCGAATCTGCCGTTATCAAAAGGAGGCAGGAGTTCTGTGATTCCAGATTGATCTTTACGGAATTTTTCAAATTTACTTGTAGCCATGGTCTTTCAGCGCTCGATATAAGGCGTATATGTGCCTCATATCGAGCACTGAGATGGTCCACCTCCGTAACTATGACACTAACATCGGAATAGGGATTTCTCCCACTTCCAAGAATCATCTTCTTTCGTTTCTGATCGCTGCTCCTCGGTACAACACGGTCCCCCATGGTTCGCTTTCCGCTAGCATTGAAGCAGAAATAAATCGGACGGCTAAGCAGGTTTACTGAGGAAGTGGGAAAAGCTGACAGCAACTGAGGCCAAAATTTTTTTGCAAATAAAATTATTATTAGAATTTACGAAAGCACAGCCGTTACAAACTAAATTCTTCGCTGCGTGGGAGGGATTCTTTTTGTACTGCAGGTTGGCCAAGGGTAAAGCTGGACATAAACAGGAAAAATGGCTATATTCTCAAACATTTTCATTCCCAGCACAGACTTGAAGACTTTGAAGATTTTGGTCGGTTTCCGTTTTTGTTGTGACAGTATTGTCTTTTGAAGAGTCAGTAGACTTATCGTTATTTGAAGCCGACAAAGTGGATGTTCTGAGTGGCTTAACTCTATAGGTACGGAATGTCCATTTAGCTGGTTCAGATCTGAAAAGAACTTTTTCATCAAATCCTTTTATCATTCTGAGGAAAAACTCAGTGTACTTTTCATATGCTGATTATACGAGTCTCTGTAGAAATGGACGGACATTATGCACTCTTCTAGTTGTTTCCGCAATCTATTTCTTCTCGAGTTTTTTATTTGGTAATCATGACTTCCGGAAAATTTGTGAGGAGAAAGGCACTCAAATCGGCACTCATCAAACACACCTCTCTAGGTTCTGAAGGTTCAGAAGTCGACCAAATGTTCAATTCTCACCCAATCCCTGCTTCTTGTTCGAGATATTCATCTCACCGACCCAGGTGCTGCTCCCCTACGCTTATGGTTCGGGTAGGACACACAGCTACTCTTCTGAATTTCAGCGCCCTCCGTTCGATAAAAGCGGTGCATCCCCTTCCACCTACATTTTCGTACCTTTGCACATTTGCGTGTATAGCAGCTCCATCAGCTACTTCTGAGCATATTTCCCAGTCAAAGATGTCTCAGTGCCTTTTTAGTTAGCACCAAAGTTCATTTTATTATTACTTTAAATTATTTTATAAACTATTTTTCACTGATTATTTTTTTATTACTGGAGTTATATTATGGTAATTTCCTATAGATTTTGAATGCCTAGGCACTATGTGAGCGAATACTTTCCGAAATCGGAGCCTTCAAGAATACCTGGCAAAAATGACGAAGATAGTGTTTGTGAGGGTCAACACGATAGCATAGCTGAGAAATACGTTCCGCCAATCGTGAAAAGTGTCTTGTGGAGTCATTGGAGCAAGTGCTGGTACGAGGAATGCTCCACAAAATAGTGAGCAGCCTGCGACAATCTGGAACGACTATATTTCTAGGTGATCTTTGAATCATAAATGCCATGATCTTCATGGAATATTGTTAACGAGACCCGTACATACCACGTTTCATCCAAGACCTATTTCTTAACTTAACGGTAGATTTCAACATTCGTGCACGGCTTAAAGGAACCTTCATTCGAGCAAGAAATGGAAATGCGTGTAACTTGAGCGGTACCAGNTAGTCCCACGTACATGATTTGCATATGCTTCAGAACCATAACTGATAGTGTAGCGCTACCCAGGCAATGGTTGTGGGAATTGTGAGGATCATGTTCCCATAGAAAGATTCCATTGTAGGTACAGAAGGAACGATGAGGAACAGAACATAAATGCTAGCTATTGAAAGGGCGCCGTAAATCATTAAGTACTCATGTTTCCAATACAACACCCAAGTGCAGGTCGAAGAACCATTCTGGCATTGATCAATCACGTTCCAGGATGCTCCCACGAATCCAACTTCCGTACAGATCTGACTTTTAGGATGAAAAGCGGGGGTAGCAGATTAAGCGCGTCTAGCCTTCTAGGCAGTCTTCAACAGCGTCGGTGGAAATAAAGTTTTCGCTTTGTTGGAGCTACTTGATGATCTCATAATCAGACCATACTTGAGGGTGACTTTGCCCTGATTGAACTCCAGATGCTCTCATCTACTATGGGGAAAGGAACCTATCAAATATGAAAAATATGAATGTCATGTGCGAAGTGACAGATCTGGGAGCGCTTAGGGGCATTTACGACTCTGTTATATTTCTACATGATCATTGGCTTTTTTTATGTAGTGGCATGCAAATGCGTCATAACTAGATCTAAAGAGTTGATATCTATCGCTCCCGTGAGAGTGAAGAGAAGCTAACCTGAACGATTGACATAACAAATGGAGTGTACTGTCGTGAGACCATCACAGCACACTTTGGATATCCGCCTGCTGTGAAAGCAACCAATATTATTGGAATCACTGAAATGGTAATGAAATAGGGATCTTACGAAATGTAACGATACTCTTGATGAAGTTGTAAGGAGAAAGATCAAAGGAAAGCTTACTGATTAGTATGATGTCAGCTATGTTATCGGTAGGAGAAAACAAAGCCAGGACAATAAAGAAGAGACCGGAGCCGAGAAGCGACAATGAACTGAACAGACGAAGTCGACTCAGTTCTGATAGGCAGTAGAGACGATCCGAAGCCAAGCCGGTCACTAACTTTATCACTAGCTGGAAATCAAGTCTTTTCGATTTTTTTCAAAATATTTCAAGGACGTAATATCGAGATAATTGATTCGAAGGAAAAAGGATAGTCTTTGGCCGTTGAACAATACCCTTTCGTGATGTCCTCCCCCCCTCCCCCCACGCTCTCCTCCCACATATGACTTGCAGGAACGTAAGGACTGTTTCAATTCGCATGTGCCCTACACAATGAATTGCTGTGGCCAGTCATTATACAAGGTCAAGGCTTTCTTCCTCTCAGTGCGCCGCTTGCCTCTACACCACCTCAGCTAGACATAACAAAATTTCATGTGATTTGCTCCACTGAGAAAAAAGTTACGGCAAGTTAAAGTTGGCCGAATACTTTTGAGCGCTACTGTGTATACATAGTCTTGTTCAGCGCTTCTGGGCGCCAACCTGAGCCAATATGGTGTCATACCATCAGATCTAACCGTGCGGAATCTTGAGGCTTGTTTCATTGCAAATGACTGGAAAGATGTTGCCGAATGATTCGAATTCGGCGAGTTGTTCTGTGAAGGCGAAGTCAGGTCAGAATTCCCATAACCAAAGCGGAAATTATAGGATAGGGTCGTCTTCAGCGCAATTGTTTTCTCCTCTACTTCGAGATCTCATTCACTGCATTTCTATATGTGTAATTCTATACTTTAAACATTAATGTTTTCTCCGAAACAATGGACCTTAACTTGTGAAATCTTACCTGTGCTCCTAACGGAATCATTGTTAGAAAGGCTCCAGTTATGGTAGGAAATTTCAGAACATAGGAGAAATACAGAGGTGAATAGGAGATTAGAAAATTAGCAACCAGAAAATTGCCGATCACTGCCAACCAAATAGCCCAAATGACCGGTGATCGGAAGATTTTACGGAATGGAGGCTGAAAAAGAATGAATTAGTAATTTTTCGGCTCTTGAATTAGATCATTGAAACCGAATTCACATCATTTACTTATGCTGTTTGAGATCGAAAAATGTCAGAAATATATTAAAAGTATTATTAAATTTTTATTAATTAGTATTACTATATAATTTAATATGATTATATGTACTTAATGTGATTTGCGCAAGGTATTTGTAGCAGATTTCGCAGAAGTCAGGGCTTTTTCCCAGGAATTTCCCATAGAGAAACTATGAAGCGACATTGTTTACTCGTGTGGGTATCATACGCGATATAATCCACGAACCAGCGAAGCTCATCTTCGAGCTTCTTGTTTCTGGCTTTGAGGCATTGGAATGAATAATGCACAGAGCCGTTCAGAAGGGGTCTTAGGGCCAACTACTTGACATAATTTCCAATAGATTCCAGCATTAGAATGGCTGGATTTGATCTCGAATAAAATACGTCTCGAACATGTATAGGCAGTTCTGCCATTACAGGGTGAAATAAGCAAGAAAGAAGGAACCTGATATTTTATGCGCATAAAAAGTGCTCTTGCATAACGATACCAAAGAAAATTCATAACATTCCAGAAAAAAAATCCGGGGACTTTTACAAAAGTTCTTTCAATGGTCTAATAGTTGTGTCTGAAGTCGGCCATCTACTCTACTTTGGGAAGTTTCTACTCCACTCCGGGGAGTTCGACGCCCGTCCAGAGTTTTGTAGACTTCCGAGTGTGTGTTCGGGCGAGAACGGTATTTGAAATATGAGGTGTGAGGGTTAGAGGTCTTCTTTCTATCAACTACCCAGCTGTATAAGTTCTATTGGGAGGGTGCGTCTGTGGTAGTTTTTCTAACTGATCTCTCTTTGTTCTTAAAAACGAAATCAGTCCTGAAGTTTTCAAAAATGAAAGGCATCGTAGGCCTGGGTCAAATGCGATACTGTAGACAGACGTAATGCACTATGGCGTCAAAATGCGAGCTTAGCGTCGGAAGTAGACTAATCCGCTTTGAGCAGTTCATACAAACATATCAAAGCTCTAAGAGGGATTACTTGACAAAAAGCAGCCGCTGCATAAATCGAGTTTTTGTTTTGTTCGCCTTCTGGAATAGTCGAACGTACGAGAATCAAACAGCAGTGCACAAGTCTCACCGAGGTTTTATAAGTACACCTTTGCAGTTTTGCGAATGCTCCAAATAACATATGAAGATTGCAGTATCTACGAAATGCCTCCCTATGTGAAGCGTACCATTTTGGAGAACGCCATATATTTGTTTTTTACGCAAAATTGCTGTTGTATTTGAATGCACGTTGGCTGATGAGCCGACCTTGGAAGAACGGAAAAATTAGTTCGTCAGGGAAAGGCTCTGTTCTGGGCCAAACGTGAGGTACCGCTTGGCGCCACTTCACTTCGGTATACTGACCATGAAATCAGTGTCAAGGTTATGAAGAGCAAATTACTTGACGTTTGATGATCCCGAAACCCATCCTGCGGTTAGGTACAGATGAAGTACCAACTGAATTCTATATCTAATTGGAAAATTATTCCTCAAATGCAAAGGTGGGCTTACATATAAAGGTATTTTGAATCTTAGTATTCTACTGGTGAAGCATAGTAAGCTACTCAAAGAGACATCAGCTCAGAAAAGTCACTATTGAGAACGGAGCGGAAAAATCTGTATGTAGCTAACCGTTCAAGGTTCAGACATATCCTATTTTATGAAATATCTGTATAATTATGAAGTACTTACCCTTAGATTTCCTTCCACGGGCTCTTTTCCATAAGTGATTCGTCTCAGTTCGATGTCAGGTACGAATGGATGCGTTGAAGCTTTGTCTCTGAAAGGAAGCTTTCATAATTCCGGGTAACTGGCTCAGCTATAATGTTCACTGAAGGCAATCGGAACGTGCACATGTGCTCGAAATTTTTCTGTGAACAACCTGGGCGATAATCTTGATCCTAATAAGTACATGTTGTTGTGCAACTATGTTTGGTATGAGTGTGGGTAAGGAAACGGTAATCCAGAGGCACAGTGCTTTTTCTAGACCCCTCACTTATTTCTGTTCTCGCTCAGTCCAAGCAGCTAAGTGAGAATCGTCCAAGGTTGTCCGATAATCGTTGATTAGAATGAACTTTCATAGATCTTTCCATAAGAGAGGAGAAGGTTTGCTGGCTCAACGGCTTTTCTCCCCTTTCATATCAAATATCGGAACATACCTGTAGTATAGCGCCCATAGTATCGTGAGAAATCCACAAGCGATTGCATGAATGTAATACACAGTGGCCCAATTCACTGAAATATATTAACATTGACAGGCAGCTCATAGTTGGAAGTACCAGTAGCTATCAGACTGCTTTTCTCCACAAGCGAACCGTATGAAATCTCAAAAGAAATCTGCTACTATCAACTTAGGTTTCGGTTAAGGTGCCTTTTTCTGACATCAATTTTAACAATCTTATCTGAAAGTTCCTTATGAGATTCAAAGATCTGGACAAGACGTCCCTAAATGTTATGATGGAGGGGGTTGCCTGATAGAAATAAATGTTCCATCTATCCTCCCGCTCTCTTTTTCGACGTATGCGCAAGTGACAGTGACCGTGAACGGTATGTGGTTTGTTAAAACTTTGATGCAGATCTGCCAGCCTACCTTTCCGTATAGGTAATTTAACACATAGAATTGATGTTTGATTGCTCAGAAATGCTCGGCAATAAACGCGTAGCAACCGTCCTCCGACGGTTAGTAAGGATGGTTCGTCATGTGTGCCCATATGTCGTTTTTGTTGAAAATAGTGAGAATTACCTTTGACAGCTACGAGCCCACCAAGGGGCATTGTGATCAGAGCACAAAGTTCAACATAAGCTGAGAGGACAGCGACGAACAAACCCCGTTGGTCCATCGCGGCCCA